CATAATAAGTTTGTTATTCTTAAAATTGAAATTTTCTTAATAAAACAAGATAAGTAGCAAGGTTAGGAATATTTTATTTTATTTTATATTATTTTTTTAAATTATGTATTTTAATATTTTTATATAATAAAAATTTATGTATAATAAAAATTTTAAATAAAAGAAAATTTAAGCTTTCAATTGATAGAACGTACAATTACATTCAATTAATGAAACATCAATGAAAGATTATTATAAGCAGAAAAAATGAGACAAAAGATTGGTATGAATAATTTTATTTTTTCATATAATAAAAAAAGTTAGTGCTATATGATATTCAGTGAAAAATATACAAATATATTAGTTTCAATTTTTTTTGGTATTAATATGAAACTCTTTTATATGAAAAAAAATTGTATATGCCTTCAATTTTTCTTTTATGTTCATTGAAAAATATTCATTATTGTATCAAAATTTTAGAAATATTTTTAAAATTAATTAATTAATTCAACCACAAAAGCAATAAAAATAAGATATTGAAGATGAAGGAAAAAAAAAACTTAAATAAGGAACTTTTAAATTATTATAGAAGATGAATAAAAAATATTAGATTTTGATTGAGTTACTATTCTAATTCGAATTTTGACTATGTTTAATCATTTTGAATTTTAAATAACTACTAAGTTGTTGACTTTTAAAATAAATTGAAATCGAGTCAAGTTAGTTCATTTTTATAATTATGTATATTATATTATTTTTAATTAAATTAAAATTTAAAATGGGTAAAATTGTTATTTATACTCAATTTGAATTTTGAATTGTTAAATTTGAGTTGATTAATCCATATTATTTTAGCTATACTTTTATAACACGAATAATAAATTTCAAAATAAAATGAGAACACAACACAATACAAATTTAAGTACAAAATGATAGAGATACTAATAATAATTTTAGAAGGAAATTCTTATGTGCAAGTTTTGCAAAGATTTAAGGATAAATCTTTTTTTGAACATTTTAAAATTTGTATTGCACAAATGTTAATTTAAATTAACAAATTTATAATCATTCATTTGTTGATCAAGTTACTGTTATATGAGTTAAGGAAAACAATTCAAGCATTTTATTTGAAAGAGATTATAATTCATATTCATTCAGAAAGATAGCATAGAATTAAATATTATTTGAGTTGTTATAACCCTTTATAATATCTTTTACTCTTTTCAATTAGAAAAGTTATTTGATATCAAAATTTATGTAAAAAAATTCAATTTGATTGATGGTAATAACAACAAAGCAATAATTGAAAATATACCATCTTTTTGTTTAGTATAAGAAATTTTTATGAAAAATGTGAAGATAATTATTATGAATTTAATATATTTTTTTAAAATTATGGTTTGTTTAACTTTTATAAATTTTATTTAGTAAATTTGTTCTAATTACTTTTATCATATATATAACAAAACTTTTACAAAAAATTATATTCTTAAAGATAGAAACATATGGCAAGGTTTATTACTTCCATTGGTGATAGAATACTTCAAAATTTTCAAAATTTTATATGCAATTATACTTCACTAACAGGTATGAAAACATATATAATAATAATTCACTCAAATCATTAATAAAGCTTATTTTAATATGTATTATTTTATCATGAACTAAAAAATTTGAAGAATATCTTAGAAATGTTGACTTAATGTATATCGTATATGTTTGTTTAATTTAGTTTTAATACTTGCATTAGTATAAAAAGTTATGATTTAAATTTAGTATTATGTGTTAAACTGCTAATAGTAAATTAAAAGTATTTACTTAGGCTTTCAAGTTATTTACTGTTGAATTTTTTTTCTTTCTTTCTCTACCTTACAAACTACATCATTTAACATACATTGTAATTATTTTATTTTTGGATATACATAAATAAAAAATAACATAATAGTGGATAATTAATAACTTAGTAATTAATTATTGAAAACTTAAATTCAATTAGTATAACTTACTAATAATCATTGATAACTTAATAGTAAATAAATGATAATTTAATAGTTAATAATTGATAATTTTTTAGCAAATAAGTAATAATACAATAATAAATGCATAATACTTTAACGATAAATTAATTATAATATAATTATAAATGCATAACAATATAGTACTAGATCAAGATAACTTACCAAAAAAAAAGTGATAATTTAGTAATAAATATATGATAACTTAATAGTAATTTAATAATAATTTAATAATAAATCAGTTTTAATTTAATAATAATTAATTGATAGTAGTAAATAATAAATAACATAGTAATAAACTAATTACAAATTAGTAATAAATAATTGATAATTTAGTAGTCATTCCTTGAAAACTTAAAAGTAAATCAATATAACTTAATAGTAAATCATTGATAATATAATAATTAATCAATGATAATACTAAATCATGCATAATTTAATATAAAATAAAAATAATTTAGTAATGAATCATAGATTATTTAGTGGCAAATCATTTATAATTTTGTGATAAATAATTAAAACCTATGTAGTAAATCAATTATAAAATAATAATAAATATATAAAAAATAATAGTAAATCATTGAAATTTAGTAGTAAATTATTAATAACATAGTTGTAAATTAGTGATAATTTAGTAATAAATTAGTTAATCATTGATAATTTTTTAATAAATTATCAATAAATTAATAGTAAATTAGTTATAGCTTCATAATAAATTATCAATAACTTAGTAGTAAATCATCAACAATAATTGGTAAATCATTTATAACTTAATGGCAAATCATTCATAAGTTAGTAACAAATCATTTATAAATTAGTAATACATCATTGATAACTTACAGTAAAAAATTGATAACTTAATTGTCAATCATTGATAACTTTTATTATATTTGAAAGTTATCGGAGATGAATGCTAGGTACTAATAAAAATGACGTTAAAACTTTCATTTTAGAGTTCAGGATAAACCTACCATCAACAAATTCAATAAAAAATTAGTGAAAATTTATAAACTTGAATAAAACAATAATGTTATTATATAAAAAAAAATTTATCTCATATATTATTAGTGGACCTTTAAATTTTATGTTTCATAGTTGTAAATGCATGACAACAAATTGGTACATTAATTATAGGTTAATAAAAAAAGTGATAACTTAGTAATTAATAATTGATATCTTAATAATAAATAAATAGATAACTTAATAATAAATCAATTTCAATTTAGTAGTAATTAATTAATAAATTGAGTAGTTAATCATAAATAACTTAATAGTAAATTAATGATAATTTAGTAGTTAATCACTGAAACTTAAAAGTAAATCAATATAACTTAATAGTAATTAATCATCAATAACTTAATAATTAATCAATAATAACTTAAGAGTAAATTCTAGTCTCATCCTAAGTATCTTTGATCGATTAATAAAAACCTTACTAATTTAGAAAAAAAAAACTTTAATAGTAAATTATGGATAATTTAATATAAATCAATGATAACTTGATAATGAATTATGATTAATTTTGTAATAAATCTATGATGATTTTATAGTAAAGAATCAAAACTTATGTAATAAATCAATGATGACATAATAGTAAATACATAATAATATTATAGTAATTCATTGATAATTTAGATGTAAATTATTGATAACTTAGTAGTAAATCACTAATAATTTAATTGTAAATAAGTGATAATTTAGTAGCAAATTAGTTAATCATTGATAATTTTATAGTAATTCATTGATAAATTAATAGTAAATCAATTATAATACAAATTTTATCAATAATTACCAAAAGTATATCTTTTTTTTGGTTTGGAACCCTCCAATATCCAGTAATCACTTTGGACTTGAAACCGAGATCTTGCTTAAAGAAAACTGAACTCCTTAGCCACTCAAACCAATAGCATTGTTATTATAAAAAATATATCATAAGTTATCAAATGATTATTAAAATTACATTAAGAGGTTACTAAAATTTTATTAAAAAAATTATCAAAATTGTATCAATAATTACCAAAATTATATCATAAGTTATCAAAGTTGTATCGAATGTTTCAAATTTTATCAATGGTTATCAAAATTAAAATTATATCAAAAGATATCAAATATTATACAAAAATCCAAATTAAATTATTAATATTTATCATTATTATCATAGTATAAAAAATTATTTATTGAAATAAATTTTTAAATATAAGAATTACACGTAGTATCCAAAAAATTAAATTTAAATATTTCCTCGCACAAAATTAGTTAAAAAAAATAAAAAGATCACATTTTTTTCATCCCTTTGTTCCGTCTATAACATTCTTGGCTATTGCCAAGCATGGCTATATGATGCACTACAATAGCACAAGAACAGCTAGTTTCTCACTCAACATTGTTATGGCATCTTTCAACATTGAGATCGTTTAGGTTGGATTATGGAGGTTATGTTCACATTAGTTAGAAAAGAAAGTATAAAGATAAATGGGAATATAGCCAGATTCATAGCCAAACCTAAACATCAGATGTTAGGTGCATTTTTAATGTCATAAACCTGTATTTGCATGAGTAAATAAACGACTAATTATATTTACATATAAATCTCATGATTTTAAACACCATTTAAATAATACAAGATTGATGAATAAATGAGCTGCGAATTGTGTTCATATTACAATTTATTATGTTCACATACAAATTCTATAATTTTATTTTAGATACCATTTCAATAAGATAAGATTGAAAACAATCCCATCAATTCAATAATCTCAAAATAGTAGGCATTATGTGTTTTCATGCTTGAAAGGATGTTTCAAGCTTATTTAATTTTAGTCATTACTTTGTACTAGGCATATCGGAATTTTGTTTATCAAATAATTTTTTAGATTATTTTAAAATCTTTTATCTTTCAGGTGGATTTTCAATAGTGAATTTCTTTAGTTTTATATCAAGCATAGTATTTCCAAGGTAGTGACAGTAATTCTGCTGTATCTAAGTTTCCGCAAACTCATAATTTAGAAAAAGAAGGCTATATCCGAGTATTTTTTTAGCCCAATTATCCAAAGGTTTTAAATAATTCCCTTTTGTATGCTGGGCCGCAGCACAAACCTAACAGAAAACAAGAGTATTGGGCCCCAAACCAGTACTTTCTTCTTGTGATGAATAAATTCCATGATGTGCATATACACGCATATTTACTTTAATTTGCCATTGAAAGGTTGTGATGTTGTTGTTGGTGCCTTCTAAAGCTCTCAGTCAACAAACACCAGACCAGAACCAAAAACCCTGCTATCACAGTATTTCATCAAAATGGGGATGTCCCAAAATGCAATGCAATTGTTATTTCATTCATCATATCAGACTATCAACATACATAACAAAACCATCTTTACTTTAATTCAGTTAATATCTAATTCATCTTGCAAATAATTTGAAAAAGGAAACATAAGAGGCAAAAGAAGGTTCACTGTGTCCACTCTAATAATTTACAGAGGAGCATGATTGAAATTCATCAGTAAACATTCTTCACTGTGTGGTCACGCTCTTTGCAAGATTTCGAGGCTGGTCGACATTATATCCCCTTAGAACAGTGAGATGATATGCCAGTAACTGCACCCAAAAGCAAAACAGAGTAGAAAAACATTGCATGATGCCCATGATTCAAGTATAATTCAATATACAGTATCCACTAAATTGCTAACATCATAATAAGAAGCAAACTAAAATAAATTTATGAGATGGATACCTGTAATGGAACTATATTAACCACAGGTTGAAGACAATCCTCAACCTGAGGAACTTCAATTACTCGACAAGCTCCTCCAGAACACACTGATGCAGCATCACCTTTTGAACACATTACTATCAAGCGCCCTTTGCGGGCGTGAAGTTGCTGAATAACTGACTGCTGCTTGCTATTAGCAATTAGAAGATTTCAGTGCCAAACAATTGAAAGTATTAAAACAATATAATTTCTCCTGGAAAAGTAACCAAACCAACCTGAAGCAAGCATCACGGGTAGCAATCACAACGATTGGAAGATTTTCATCAACTAATGCCAAGGGACCATGTTTCATTTCACCAGCAAGTATCCCCTCACTATGCATAAGTGCAACTTCCTTTACTTTTAAAGCACCTTCCAAAGCAGTTGCAAAATTGTATCCTCTCCCAAACACAAGAAGTGACTGCTCAGCAATCAAGAGCTTTGCAAGATCCTTCATTTCCTGGTCAAGCTTCAATACCTCCCTGATTTTATCTGTAAAAGCAGAACATAAAACAAATTAGTTCAGCCGCAAAATCAAAATGCAAAGGGGAAAATCTTTTAAAATAAACAACAAAAGGAAAATAAATAAGAGGGGGCAACAATTGAGACTCACTTGGCAGGTCAAATAGACCATCTATTATAGCCTCCCTTCTCTCTTGATTAGAAATCGTGTCCCCTCCGATTGCCAGAGCTAACATGGCCATCACTGCTATTTGACTTGTATATGCCTATTAATAACAGTAAGTTTTTTACCATAAAACAAAATGACAGAAAGATTCATTGATCCATGTACTTACCTTGGTACTTGCTACACCAATCTCACAACCAGCATTTATATGAATCCCACAGTGAGTATTCCGCGCTATCACACTGCCAACAGTATTTGTGATGCCAACACATAATGCACCATTTTCCAGAGCATATTCTAGAGCACGCAATGTATCAGCTGTTTCACCAGATTGACTGACAAAAACTGCTGTATCCTCTCTGTATATAGGACCTTGCCGATCCAATAAATCACTAGCAATTTCCATTGTAACAGGCACCCCTATTTTTCCACATAAATCAAACAAGTTGAAAATGAGCATAACAAATTTTAAGACGGAGAAAATTATCGTTCCCAGAAGAATAACATTTACCAGAGAGTTCTTCCAAGACGGGTCTAGCAGCTAGGGCAGCATTGTAACTTGTACCACAACCAATAAATACAATTCTTCGGCTACGCCTAATTGTTTTAAGGTGATCCTTCAGTCCACCCAAAAGAACAGCCTTAGCTTTGCAGGAACCTCCACGTATAAGCCTTCCTCTCATGGTAGTTGTAAGAGATTCTGGCTGTTCATGAATTTCTTTCTGCATATAATGCTCGTATTTTCCCTTATTTATTTGCTCAACCTCCATCTCAAGAATAGATAATGCACGTTGCACGGATGCAGGCCTAGAAAGATTAGCACCATTTCTTCCTTTGTCATTATCAAATTTTAGGATTGATACACATCCTTCCTGAAGAAACCAGTGAATTGGTGAAAAATAAAAAATGCATTCAAGCAAAATGAAGAAAGGGCAAAAAGATTTGATGGACTACCATTTTTGAAAAACTAATCAATGTGGAAAACAAAAAGGTATCATAAGTTAACTAGGATTCTACAAAAGATGGGCAAAGAGAGAACTCAAGAGTTGCATGGTTTAACTTTTCAAGTGAGTTCTAGAAATGGTTGGATTGCATATTAGGGCAGAATTAGCAAAACACCAGGGGGAGGGGTGGTAAAGAACCACAAAGGCCTGTTTACTCCAAAAAAAAGAAGTATAACCATACTTGAGCATTCCCATCCAAGAGGATAGAATGGGATCAAAGGAAAAAGTCATTCAATAAGAACAATTTCATTCTTAAAGATGTTAATGGGACATCACTAGAATGAAGACTTGACAGTTTGTCATTCTTTCCTAAAATTGGCAGTCTGAAAAGCTGCAAAAGGTTGCAATTGCAACTGGTCTTTAACTAATAAACCTGGTAATGACAACCATCATACCAGAACAGAATAACTTTTCAACCGTCAAAACAAAAGCCAGCCATTTTGTCAGCAAACCAGCTGTTCAAATGGTTTCCAAACAGCCAAAAACAAAAGAAATTCCACAAGGGAAAGAAAATTATTCAGGACATCATTATAACCCTACCGACAGCTAGGTCTTTCATCTATGCAAAAGAATGATAATTGTCAGTGGATCTAAGAAGCTCAAAGCTAAATGTCATTGACTCACAGAAGACAACTTAAGCTGGATGATTTTCCTCTTTCTATTCCTACTGAGGAAACAATAACCTAAATGTTCATAAAAAAAAATGAAATCATAGCTTAATATTCCTCTTAAGATTGCTTATAAGAAAGAAGCCTCCTAGTGATTTGGTTAGAAAGATCATAAATTAGAAGCTGTGCAATGACCTGTCTTGAACCAACATGATTGTATAACTTAGGGTGTGAAGTAAAACTAACAAATTATGAAGAGTTGATTTAGTACAAAAACCTTATTCCATTGGAAACTAGAATCTTATTATTAAGTAACAGGGAAAAAATGTCTAACAAAATAGGTTCACAACTATATCCCATGTATCTCAAACATTCCAATAAGTATCATAAGAAGCTTATAGACATATACTATAAAATTATCAGTTAGAACCTGCATAGCATTTATTCTTGGAAGGTCTACATGTTATATAAAAGGTGTAGGATAGAAAGAGAGGAAAATGAGGGATAAAATGAAAAGAAAAAAAAGATGCACATAGAAAATAATTGTAGAATAGAACACAGAAGTGTTGTAAGACATATATCAAGTATAGAAAGACAACGAGAAGAAGACTTGCAAAATTATCCAAACAATGAAAATGCACCTTAAGATGAACTACTTCCCCATCCTCGATCACCAGAACTTTCTTTGTGTGTTCAATTAGAGCATTAGCATCACTTGACAGAAAAAGTTCCTTAGGATTGCCATTCTTTGAGAGAAATTTAGCATCGTGAAATGCCGATCCACCGCAGACATCTTCATTTAATTCCTGAGTGAAAGCATTTTCTTAAATAAACAAAGCATCAACCTGAAAGAAATAAAATAATATGCAACCAAAAATTACTAGAAATTTAGGCACTAAGTCTGCAACCTTGTACAAATTTATGCACAAAACCAAAATCCAGTAAATGGTCAAACGAGGAAACGAAAACTTTATAGAGGCTTCCATTACAGCAAGAATTTTTATGCTTTACTAGAGAAGGGTGGAGAGAAGAAATTGCACTGCATAATGCGGACACCTCATGGCAACCAAAACTCCATATCAAAGATGATATGGAATCCAAATTTAAGTGCAACAAGATTAGCTTTTATATAATTGTATTTGAAAGAGACAAAGTCAAAAACAATTGTGCTTCCCTATACTTCCCTATGTTTATCACTTGCATGTACCAATTTGTTGTGCATTGACCCATAACATCTGTTCCTATAGTTAGTAAGATTGGATCAGAAGACTATCAATAGCTAAAGCATAAAATCTATGCCTTCATTCTTTTCACATGGACCATTTAATTGCTCTATACCAAAGATAAAGATACTGTTACCTTAAGTACTTGAACACTACATCATCGGTCAAAAAGCCAGGTACTTTCAAATTCAAACATGATAAATGGCCAAAAATTTTCAAATCTGGTCTTTTTCTGTATTCCCTTTTAAGATCATAAAATTCTACTGAAGAGTAAGGGCAATTTATACAAGTGATAAAACTAGTAATGACCTGTGCAACTAAAAAGGCAAAATATGTTAGGAATGAGTATGATAGATATGAGAATGTTGCGCTTGATGTATGGACATACAAGAAATATAAAATTACCAAAGAGTGCGTAAAGGAAAATGTGGGGGTTGCACCAATTGAGGACAAAATGATAAATATGTTTAAGATAGTCTAGATATGTAAAGAGGAAACCTACATATGTCACCATGCAAAGATATGATTTAATGATAACAAATTTCAATAATTAGGATGAATAGGGATCTAGATTTTTGTCTTCTAAGACATTTTTTTCATCTTTTGAAGTCGTGGAAAAAGAAAAGAATTCTTACATCTTGAGTAGATTTAAAAGTAAAAGTGGTTTGTTATTTCTCATATGTTAAGATCATGTTTTAAAATACAAATGATAATTCTGTTAATCCTTTATTTAATTTGTGAAAGGGTCATATATCATACTACCTATATATAATCCAAAATAAGTGAAATGAATTAGAAGAAAAATCTTTGCATAAAAATTTTCAACATTAAAACCAACAATATTTGTCACTCATAAATTAATGTTGACACTAAAGCAAAGCTCCTATCTATAACCTAAGAGCGATTAAGAACCCCCAAAAGCATTACATTTGACAATGCTTTAAGTATAGAACTAAAGAAATTGTTTTCAATAAGAGAATAATACAAATCAAGGAAAATTACAAGAAAATCACAAAATAAATATGGAAACGAATTATGTAATAAAAGTTTGCAAAACAAAGCAACCAACAAACAAACTGAATCTCAAGACTTCAGTAGAGTAGTAGCTGATTCAAAGCACAAGACGCCACCTACTAAAAAGCTTGACACCCAAAAACATTTATAAAATGAATTCTCTGGTGCAGAAATCAATAATATAAGAAGCTAGATTCATGATTATACTTACTTTGACACCTAAGAGCAATGGACTGCCCCGTTTGCAAGCAATAAGCTCATTTGGGTAATGTCGGCTTTTGAAAATGAGGGCATAAGCTCCCTCAAGATGCCTCATAACTTCAAGCACTACTTGACTAAATGTGACAGTCCGGTCACCTGCAGAACAAATAATAACCAATCGAAGTGCATTTGATTTGAGATGTCTCAAACATATGTGAAGAAAAACCATTTTTGTAAGATATGAGACTAGCTGCAAAGTATGTATTTCTTGGACATCAATTAAGGCAAAGAGCAATAGAACACCAGGTCATTGATCTGACAGTTGGGTCGATGTTCCAACCTCATAATTTAAACTAAATATTATGTAAAATTTCAGAGGCAGTTAATAATTAAATTAAATATTATGCAAAATTTCACAGGCTGTTCATAATTAAAAAAAATATTATGCAAAATTTAGAAACTTAAGATTGTTATCCATGAGACAGGCATGATGGACATGCAAACAGGTTACCAAATATTGACAGTCAAGTAAGGATGAAAGAAACCTTACGCAGACCACACACTGGCAACTTGAAAAGCCCCTAAAGTAGTGGTGAAAGAGTCCACAAACCGGAAAATGGGTCTAATTAATTCAAAGTGACCCATCAAGTTGGACTAACACAATTGAAAAGCAAAAGGCCCATTTAATAAGTCCACTAAATGGGTACTCATTCTCAAGGAATAGTTTAGGCAAAAAAAAAAAAGCATATTCAGAACAAAACAAACCACTCAAAGAAGCTTTAGAAGCATGGGAAATCAGAAGAAGAGGATGAGAGAATGGTAATTGGATGGCGTCTAGAATGCTCATGACATCTCATGCAAAGTCTGCGACAACCTTGTTACCAACATAACCTAGATTGCGTTCCTTTCATAATTTGTTATTTCAATGTTCTGTTGTCCTTTTGTGCTGTTGTTCTATGACTGCACTGTATACTAACTGTTGCATATGTATTTGTTTACTGTTGTCATCCAGGTTTCTAGGAGATTCAGTTCTTTTGTTTTTTTTTTAAAGTTTAAATTGTTGAATAAGGGCTGGTTGTGCCCAGGCTGTTCATAGGTGTAGTTAGTTTAATTTCCTCATCTTTAGGAATTTTTATTTCCTGTTTTTTCAGAGTTATTATTTCCTTTTTTTTCATTTATTATTTCATGATTTTTAGGAGTTAGTTTAGGGCTAGGTATCTTTGACCTAGGCTATTCATGCACCTAGTCAGAATCAATGGAAATTAACAAAGAATGATTTTGCCTCTCTGATTTCATGGTATCACAGCAGAAACTCTGAACCTAGTTATTTTTTTGGCAAAAACTGCAATGACTGGAACCAGCAGAGGAGATGAGTCTTCCACTGTCTCTTCATGTTAGTCCAAGCAAACATCATAGCTTCCAATCATCAGTCTACAAGGTGGAAGTAAGAATATTTCCTTGCAGATTACATACTGTCAAGTTAAATGGCAAGAACTATTTTAGTGGGTGCAGTCCATCAAACTTGTGATCTGAGGCAGAGGTAAAACGGGTTATCTCATTGGAGCAGCTGCTACTCTAAAGATGGAAGACCCTGCTTGCCAAGTAGGGGACGCTGAAAAGTCCATTATTATGGCTTGGCTTATTAAATCAATGGAGACTCAAATTGGGTAGACTTTTTGTTCTTACCCATGGCAAAAGCAACACAGGATGCTATGAAGATGACTTACTCAGACCTTGGCAACTTTGCTCAGGTGTTTGAGATAAAGTCAAAATTGAGAGAGACAAAACAAGGAGTACAAAATGCAATGGATTATTTTAATACTCTAAAAAATTTGTGGAAAGAATTGGATTTATTTTATGAATCCGGCCGGGATTGTACGGATGTAGCTTCAAGCAGAAAAAAATGGTGGAACAGGAACAAGTGTTCTAATTCTTAACAGGTCTAGACAAAGAACTTGATGAAGTCAGGGGCAGAGTGCTTGGCAAAGACCCCTTACCATTGATTGAACAAGTGTTTGCAGAGGTACAAAGAAAGAGAAGTCGACAGAAGGTTATGATGGGAGACTTTAAGGACGAAAATGGTGGACAGAACACAGCTGAAGGATCCGCTTTGGCTGCAAGAGGTCAACAGCACTACAATAGGCCTTCCACAGACCAAAAAAATACAAGAAGGGGAAGCAGCCTTGGTGCAACGTCTGTCATCACCATGGACATACCAAAGATACTTGATGGAAAATTCGTAGCAAACCGCATAATTGGACCCCGAAAATGCAGAATGATGGGAAAGGCTTCCATGTGCAGGCTATGGATAATGAACAAGCTGTTGCCACAGGTTCAACCAAAGGAGAATCAGCCCATACTCCAGTGAGGTTTAGCAAAGAGCAAATAAATCACCAGTCGGTTCTAGCTCTTTATCCCTGACAGGTAACTTTCTCTCAGCCCTTAATGCCACTGCAACTTCAAAAAGTCCCTGCACTATTGATTCAGGAGCCTCTGATCACATGACAGGTGATTCTATTTTTTTTTTTTTGTTATATATAGTCCTTGTTCTAGGAATATTAAAGTAAAAATTGCCAATAGTTCTTTGTCAAACGCCACTGGAAAAGGTTCAATAAGACTCTAAAAAGACTTGATGCTTCATTTCATTCTTCATCTTCCCAACCATGTTTGTAATCTAGTGTGAGTTAGCAAAGTAAAACATGACAATAATTGCTTTACAAAATTCTTACTATTTATTTGTGAATTTCAGGAGCTATCCTTGGGGAGGACAGTTGGCAATGCTAGGGAATGTGAACGAATCTACTTCTTTGAGGATAAGGATTCTAGGACTAGACAAACCTTTGTATCAAGTAGTCAATCTCTTTCTGTTTCCAGTCAAAAAGAAATAATGTTGTGGCACCATAGACTTGGCCATCCAAACTTTTCTTATCTTAGATGTTTGTTTCCTCAACTTCTAAGAAATAAAAATCCTCATTCTTACCAATTTGATGCTTGTCAATTAGCAAAGCACAACTGAAACCCTTTTCCCTCCTTACCTTATAGATCTTCCTCACCTTTCTAGTTAATTCACAGTATATTTGGGGGCCATCCAAAGTGACTACTGCATCTGGCAAATGTTAGTTCACAACATTTATTGATGATCACACATGTACCACCTGGGTTTACCTCTTGAAAGAAAAGTTTGAAAATTGTCAAATATTTAAGAACTTCCATTCCATAATTCAAACACAGTTTCAAGCAAAAATTTGTGTCATACATACAAGAGTATTTTCATTCCGTGTTAGGTGAGTTTTTAGCCAACAATAGATAATCCATCAGAGTTCATGTGTGAACACCCCACAACAAAATGAAATATCAGAATTAAGAATCAACATTTCCTTGAAGTCAGTAGGGCTCTTATGTTCACCATGCATGTTCCAAAGTACTTGTGGAGCGAAGCAGTTATTACAGCAGCCTATCTTATAAACAGATTACCAAGCCAAACTATCTACTACCAAACACCTCTCTCCACCCTCACCAAATACTATCCTCACCTTCACCCCTTGAATAATCTCCCCTTAAAGACCTTTGGATGTACAGCCTTTGTACATATACATGCTTGACATGAAGCAAATTAGACCCCATAGCCATAAAAATTGTGTTCCCTGGCTACTCACCCACAAAGAAAGGATACCGTTGTTACTCACCTCCCCAAAAAAATCTTTATCTCTCATGTTGTCACCTTTTTTTAGACTCAACCATTCTTCCTTGCCACCTCTCTTTTACCACTAATGTTTCACCATTCTCCCAAAAAAAAATCTTTCACCATCATTTCGTGCTCTTACCACAAATGTTTCCAACATGGAGACTCTTAGGTCAATATGAGAGGCTCTAGCTAAACCTGAATGGAAAAAGACCGTTGAGAGGATATGAAGACTCTAGAGAAAATGGCACCTGGGAGCTGGTGAATTTACCTCATGGGAAGAATATTGTTGGTTGTAAGTGGGCATTCAAAGTAAAATATAAATCAGATGGTTCAGTTGAGAGAAGACTTGTTGCTAAAGGTTTCACACAAATCTATGGGATTGATTAATGGAGACATTTGTACTGGTTCCTAAACTAAATACCATGAGGGACTTGTTGTCTCTGGCTGCAAATTTAGATTGGCCACTACACCAACTAGATGTGAAGAAAGCCTTCTTGAATGGGGACCTAGAAGAGGAGGTTTAGATGGACATTCCACTAGGCTTTGAAGACAGCAAGAATACCCAAAAAGTGTGCAAGCTCAACAAATCCCTACATGGACATTCCACTAGGCTTTGAAGACAGTAAGAATAACCAAAAAGCAATCACCATGAGCATTGTTTGATTGCTTTTCAAGAGCAATAAGAAGTTAAGGATACAATCAAGGCCAAATTGACCACACTTTACTCTTCAAAATCTCCGGTATGGAAAAGTTTCTATTCCAATAGCATACGCGGATGACAAAATTCACACAAGAGATGCTTTGGAGGAAATGGAGAAACTAAAAAGTCTACTAGCCACTGAATTTGAAATAAAGGATCGTGGCCCCTTAAAGTATTTTCTGGGAATGGAAGTTGTGAGAAGCAAGACAGGCATATCCATCTCTGAAAAAAAAAGTATACTTTGGACTTGTTAAAGGAAACAGGAATGTTGGGATGCAAACCTGTTGATACACCAATGGAACAAAACCACAAGATAGTTCAGTGCAAGGAAGAAATTCCAGTTGACAAAGGACAGTATCAAAGGTTAGTTGGGATAGTAAATCTACCTCTCTCATATAAGACCTGATATAGCCTTTGCTGTCAACTTTGTTAGTTAATTTATGCTTGCTCCACAGAAAGAACATCTCAATGCGGTTTACAAAATTTTGAGGTATCTTAAGATAACCCCAGGGAAGGGATTGTCTTTTAAAAAACCAGAACAAAGAAAGGTGGAAGCCTTTACTGATGCTAGGCTTAGCTGACGATAGGAGTCTACATCCGGACATTGCACTATGGTTAGAGGAAATTTAGCAACTTAGAGAAGTCAGATATAATCAGTGGTTGCTAGAAGCAGCGCTAAGGCGGAGTTCAGGGCTATGGATCAAGGAATTTGCGAACTGATTTCGCTCAAAATGCTTATGGAAGAGTTAAAAATTACACTAAACTATCCTA